CAGTCTATGTTGCTGACTCTGATCATTCTGAGGAAACATCAGCAGGATCCCTAAAAGAAGCTGTGCTTGAGATCATTCAGCTTCATTTTTCTGTAAATTAATGTACCTTTGAGAGAAATAAAACTTCTCTCACCCTTGTAGCAGAAAACTGACAATTTAAGCAGTGCTCTTCAAACAACTTTCCTTCAGGACTCTCCATGTGCCGAAGTGTCCTTGAGCAAGACACTTGACCCCTTCCAACATCTCCACTGGCTGGGCTCAGTGGTGTATGAATAGAAAAGGAAAAAAAAACTGATAAGCTCTATACAAAGCAGCCTCTCTAAAGTGGTCAGAAGACAAGAGGCCGAGCTTTAAAAAACAAAGTCTGTTTACCATTCTGCCTGGCAGGTCTTTACTGTTGGCAATGTATGAACTAACCAGCTGTGTTTACTGTGAGGTACTTTTTCCACACTATTTTCTCCCCCTTCACCCTCACCCCTCTGATGGGGCTGATGCTGTCCGTCAGGCAGGCAGCTATTCACAAACATACATTTCTGCAGTGTGAGTGCTTACATAGAGATTTTACTCACAATGACTGGTGGCATAACTCTCTTTTACAGCAGTCAGCTCTGCTCTGTCACCGTACTAAGGAAAATTGTAAATGTGAAAAGTATGCTGCTTGCTGACACATTCATAACCACTCCAGAGTTGAATGGCTGTTGCAAAACACATAATTTAACAGTTACTATACAGCTTACACAACCAGTTTTGTATTTATTGCCACGACCTTCCCTGCCTGTAATTCTTACTGCAAGCAAAGCTGTTCAGTAATCATTGTAGTGATTTCACATAAACGCTCCAGCGAGGTTTCCTATAAAAAAGGAAGTGCTTGGCAACACTTTTGCTAATGCTGGTGGTCATGCACAAATATGTAGGTGCATTACTAATGTGCACGGCTGAAAATGAATCTACATTTAAGATGAGACTATTTACACATAAAAAATATGAACATATACAAAAAGTGTAGTTGTGCAAACATCATAGGCTCTGAGTTTGTATGAAAAGCAGCTGCAGACTCAACATCAGCTATTATATTGAAGAGATGCAGAAAAATGCAAAAGTTGACGAGTACCAGCCCCAACCACTTTAAACCAGGAGAATGGCAGACCATGACTTAAAAGATTTTTGGAACTTAGTTTGAAAATGAAAATTTTTCCAAAGATCAAGTAATTTTTTTGTAGCTAGTAAGTAAAAAGGATAAGCTAACACAAAAAGTAGATTGTAGGTTGATCTCACCAAATATTTCCAGTCTAGTGTAGAGGCATTTAAGTCAATGGGTCAATGTTCATTGCGTCACTTTATAGTTTGCACATGCACATTTGCTCCGCTTCAATTCTAAAGGTAAGAGTTTGGGTTACTAAATGAAATGGTCCATCCAGAGTCTCTTGCTGCCGTTGTGTACCATGATGCGGTGGAATTGGCCAGGTGAACCTTCAAGGGGATGGATGGCGACCTGGAGTGATTACTGGGAGCATAAAATCTCCACTGATACTCATATTACAATTTCTGGTTTACCTCTGGACTATAAAATTTATGGACTATCATGCCAACCAATGAACTCTTATTTCTCATGTCAGCTGTGTGGAACCACATGTAAAGACTTTCTCCCTGGATGACCTGTGATCTCTATTTCTGATCACTGTGCATTTAAGAGCTCACAGCTCTGGTTGACCATTCAACAGGAGTAACTGCAGTGACTGTAAATATCTTTATTGTTTTGTTTTTGTTTGTTTGTTTGTTTTGTTTGTTCTGTAAATACTTTTGTTATTCTTATTTTTCCACAATTCAAGGTACCATCACCAACTATACTTGAACTGTCTCTGCCTCCCAATTGCTTATGCCAGCTCCAGCAGCCGTAACTAACTTCTGTTCATAGCCCATATTAGCCACTAGTTAGCATAGCAACTGCTACATGTTAGCAATAGCTCAATAGCTAACAGCAACCTAACATACATGCTAGGGGAGACTTGGGACAGTTGCAACACTTTGCTTTTCTCTCAATTACTCAGAGATGATTTGGACTGGGCCAACCATTTGTTGATATAGTAAATTCACATCTGTCCTCTAATTCCCCATACCGTTTAAATATGGTTACATAAGACAAATTTTTACAATATTCATTCATTCCAAAAAAAAAAATAAATAAATAAAGGGACGGTGCAACACTACTTAGGGAGAGTTGCAACATGCCACAAATCCATTCAATTACAATTTTCAATTTTCTTTTTTTTTTTTTTTTGGTCTCAATTGGTCTGAGAATATGTTTTACTTGTGATTTTATTATGATAATTTGATATACAAAATGTCATAGAATTGTTTATTCATTTATCTAATATCGAAGATTGAGTTTTGATTGTTTCTGCATAAAACATAGGCTTACTTTGAGTCAATGTGCAGATGTTGCAGATTCCAATGTTCATAAGTGGATTGTAGATTTTACTGAGATATGAATACAAATCTTGATGCAAATGTTACACTGCATATCATGCAACACTAGTTTGGGGACAGTTAAAACAAGTGTTGCAACTGCCATAACAAAACACCACGTGCTAACTAAACAAACTGTTTTTAACAAATGCTAACCATACAACTTAGAAATCAACAATACGATTAAAAGTAACTGAGTTGTGATTAATTCATGCAAATAGTCAGTGTTTTACGGTTTCCGACATGTATTAAATAGGAACCAGAAGCAGACCGGAGGCAGCAGGGAGTGTACAGGGAGTGTGCAGGGAGCTTAGAGTGGGTCCAAGAATGGGGGGTCCAAGATCCAATGCGAGAGCTTCGGTGGGGTGAGAGTGAGTGAGTTTAGCGGAGGAGGCAGGGGAAAGATCCAGGGAGCAAGTTGTGGCAGCGTCGCAGAGGTTGGGGCTTAGGCTCAGGAGGCTCGTGGAGGCACTGGAGGGGAGAAGAGGAAAGCAGGAATTTGGCAAAGAAAAAACACTAGTTCACAAGAAATAATGAATAGCGATACTCAAACTGGCCAAGATACCATGGGAGGTGTAAGAATAATCTGGCACCGAAAGACATCCAGGCAGAGTTGAAGAGGAACCACTGATTGCTGGTGATTAGATGCAGGTGCGTTGGTGCAGGAGGAGCCGCCCAACCTCTGTGGAGGGAAAAGGGTGAAGAAAACTACACAAAACAAACAAAACAACGTGTAACCATGACAAGTCAGGATGGTTTGACAAAAATACACCACATCAAAAATTGACTTTCATACATCAAAAAAAAGTTTTCTTCCAATAAATCCAGTATGGGGGGTGGGGTGTGGGGGTCCAACTGAGCATCTGCAGTGTCAGTATCAATCTAGCATGTTTCCGATTGGAGGAATAAGCCTTGTTGCAACCAACCCTTGTTGCAATTGTCCCCAGTCTCCCCCACATTGTGTATATATGTTGAGAGAAGAGGAGTGAGTTTGAGTGGGAAAGGGATAAATAAGGCCAACCCTGCAAATAATTACCTGGTTGTACAAACACACTTCCCAAGTTTGCTGAAAATTGTCTTGACTCAGTCAAATGATCTTTAATCAGTGTTTTTTCTGTGTTTTTGGAAATGAAACAGCTTTCAGACAATCTTTGAACAGGATATGGTGAGACTACCATGAAATTTTACCCGACATTGTACCTGTGTTCAGGAGATAAAATGAGTGATATTCAATAAAAAGTGACTCATCAGAAGGATTTTGAGGAAAAAAATAACAGATTATTGTTTTTCGGTCTTTGCTATATAGATTTAAAACACACCAGATGGGGATCCTGACACAGTGACTAATAAAAGCCTTAGAGTGACATTAATAATGCACAGGCTCTGTGATAGCAGTCTGGTGACACAAAAGGGACACACACACACACTCACACATGCACACATGAGATGTAGCAGCAGATAGGAAAACTTGGTAATGAGGATGTTCTTCTGTCAGGATGACCCCTCAAAACAAAACATTCAAGGCAAAGAAATAAGAGAGGATTAAAAAAAATGAATTAAAAAAACCCTAAAATTTCAGACAGTTAAGGAAAAGTGACCTCTTATTTTTAAGGGTCTGCTCATCAAGGTTTAGAATCACACTGTTGTGCTTTTCTGTAGAAATGCATGATAAAGGACTCCTTTTTTAAAAATTTGCTCAGGCTTTATTTAAATTTTATTAAGCTTTGATTTAGTTGTTTTTTTTATTTCTTTTGCAGGTTGAATTTAGATTTTTGCAGGAGTTAATTATTTTCTGTCAGGTTAACATAGACACACGAGGAGGAGGGACAGCAGGTGTTGTTGGACGTGACTAATGTTTCATGTTATGTGTCTTGTTGGCTGATATTAGACGCCTGGATTTCTTTTGCCATTGATAAAACTTCTGAACACACGTTTTGACTTATTTAAATACAACAGGATTTTTTTTAACCATAGCAACAGCTCATGATGTCTCATTTTCCATGACATTGATCAAATACCAGTCAAGTTTATGAGTAAACATGCCACAGTTACTAATTTTTATCTTATATCAGTATTAAGAGGATGTGGCTTCAGTGAGATATGATTCACATATCTGTAGTTTACCTCGTTTGAGAAAACAATTGCATTCATGACAAAAGACTGTTTTTGTATGAGTGTAATTTAGGTCTTTGCCCTGAAAATTACTGGGGGTAAGAAGATACAATATCTGTTAATGGGGAAGTATTTTCATTTAGAAAAAGATATGGACATCTTATTATAAACCAGGTGTCTGTTGCTGAATTTAATTATATCAGCTGATTTATTTCTTGAACCACAGTTGTAAATGCGCTCAGTTTTCTTGGTCACTCACAAAACTTACAAAACTTGAATCTCCTTCATATTTTTCATAGGTGATGGAGTTTATGTTATTTGATAGTGAAAAATAACATCCAAAGTTTTATACTGTGCCTTTCTTTGTGGTGGGGTTCTATGAATCGTTTGAGCACAAAGGTCTAACTGGTCTGACTTTTAAAATGCTGGACAGAAACCTGATCCAGCTTTTGAATGACAGGAAGGGAAGGCCTTTGTCACTCAACGAGATTAGACCAATTGCACAGCAGGTAACAAAACTGTGGCCTGTTAATCAATAAATCAATAAAGTACCAGAGAAGTTTAAAGAAGAAATAAAACCATACAGCACATTTCCTCTGATCTGTAAACTCCCGCACACTTGTTCGCTGTAACCCTCTTTATTTTTCACTCTTTCTTCCTGCAGCTATTCACAGCCTCTCACGCTCTAAAAGGAATCGGCGTCATCCATGCAGACCTGAAGCCTGATAACGTCATGCTCGTGAACCATGAGACGCAGCCTTTCAGGGTCAAGCTGATAGATTTTGGCCTGTTGCTTCAGACTATTGAAAAGGACTGGTCTGACCACACAGGCTCTCAGGTAGATCAACTTTACTTGGAAAAACTGTATTGAATTAACTCAGTTTTTGGTAACTTGTTATGTACACTTATTATAAACAAGTTAGTTGTACTTTTTGGTCATTAGAGCCGAAGCACTGCATTTTCTTAAGTCATTTTCTGAGTCATTTTAATCGAATTAAATAATTAAAACCTATTTATTTTTCCCCAGTGGTTGAATGTTGAATTTCTGTTTATCTATGACATTTTTGTTGGTTGATTTAATCACATAAAGAAGCATACCCTGTTGTTACTTTTTGCTGGAAAAATTTTATTGCTGTAACTAATTTGAATGTAGAAATGGCTCATGGTCAATTTTCACTCTGTGTCTTTGACTATAACCAGAGCCTTTCAAAACACAGTAGTCATTGTCACCACATGATTTAACAAGTTCATTGCTTTAACCCTTTGATGCGCAACATATCCACACCCCCTCTAATGCGCAACATGGGTCTAAAAAGACCCGCATTCATTTCCAATGGTATTTCATGCTGGCTGAGTTTTTCTTTGTTCTATCTTTTGAAATAAGTTTATTTTCTGATTGAATATTCCAAGTATTCTTTAAATAGCTTGTTTTTGATCACCACTGATCATTATTTCTATTTTTCTTTTCATACTTTATGAAATAATATAGTTTCTATATTATTACATCAAGTTTACACACATGGGTCAAAAACGACCCATTCATCCAAGTGTGATTTAATATTGAATTACCTAACACTATAATAATAATTTGTTTCAAGTAATGAAATTAGCAGTGAGTGGGACCAAACCATAGACTGTATATACTATGGACAACTTGGTTCCGCCTACCGCCTGTATACGGATTTGGAGCCAAAAAGCTCTCGGTATTTCCGGGACTTTTCTACATTTCTGAAACCAGAGCTGCGCAGTTGCGATGCGTGCATTCGGCCGCGCAGTCGTTGGGAGTCACTGTGATGACGCTCGGCTCAAACAGCGTATCCCCCCGGGAGAGCTACGCAATCCCTGAATGCCCATAGGCTGTATCCATAGACTGTATATACTATGGACAACTTTGTTCCGCCTACTGCCTGTATACAGATTTGAAGCCAAATAGCTCTCGATATTTCCAGGATTTTTCTTCATTTCTGAAACCAGCGCTGCGCAGTAGCAATGCGCGCATTTGGCCGCACGGTTGAAGAGAGTCGCTGTGATGACACTCGGCTCAAACAGCATATCCCCCGGGAGAGCTACGCAATCCCTGAACGCCCATAGGCTGTATCAGGTGTCAATCATAGAAAACATGAACCCCTAATAACTTTTCAAAACGGAGCTTCACAGAAAAAAAGAGGACTTGAGCACAAACCAGTCTGACAGTAACTACATGTCAACATCACGGTCAGGAGGGATAAAAAATTATGTTCTGTGTAATAAATTTCTAAAGTTGGTCCACAGCTCCATAATCTTTGCTGGCGGAGGCTGGATTTATGACCTATACTGCAGCCCATCAACAGAGGGTGCTGTTCTCGGAGTGGCTTCAGCCAGCGAGGAGGCAGACTCTGTCCATTCTATATACAGTCTATGGCAGGTGTCAATCATAGAAAACATGAACCCCCTAATAACTTTTAAAAACAGAGCTGTACAGAAAAAAGAGGACTTGAGCACAAACCAGTCTTACAGTAACTACATGTCAACATCACAAGCAGGGGGGAGAAAAATCTATGTTCTGTGTAATAAATTTCTAAAGTTTGTCCACAGCTCCATAAGGTTTGCTGGCGGAGGCGGGATTTATGACCTATACTGCAGCCTGTAAACAGGGGGTGCTGTTCTCGGCTTCACCCAGCAAGGAGGCAGACGCTGTCCATTCTAGTCTATGGGCCAAACACTTAGGTATTTTGTATCAGCAACATGTTTATTTGTCATTTTGTCTCATACACATGCGTCTGATTATAGCTAGCTGAAATAACGCTAGCTGTTTTACCTGTAACTGTGTAACTTTCCAACATGTAATGTCCTCACTCTCAAGGTAACCTAAACCTAATCAAATCAAATCTATGTACAATTATATTTCACAATTGTCATCAAATAATTTCTAAGATAATGACAGAACAATTGAAAAACCATACTTACATGTATTAGACGGTCTTTTCATGCTAAATGCTACAGTCACTGTATGTGGGTCGTTTCTGACCCATGTATGTAAACTTGATGTAGAAATACAAAATCTGCTCTTCCTCATAACGTAAGAAAGGAAAAATAAAAATGATTATTCGTGCTCAACTAAAACAAGATCTTTACTGCATACTTGGAATAGTTAATGATAAAATTAATTTATTTCAAAGATATACCATAGAAACACTCAGCCATACATGAAATAACATTGAAAATGGATACGGGTCATTTTAGACCCATGTTGTGCATTAGAGGGGTAGTGATGCAAAAACGGTTTTTATTCTAAAAGTAAAAAAAGAAAAATTAACATAAGGATGTAGGGTCGTCAAAAACAAGTTAATTGAGGAATTCCTTGAGTACCGACTGATGGAATTAATTTTTTGAAAAGATATATAAAATTTAAACTCAGCCGGGTCTTTTTTGACCCATGTTGCGCATCAAAGGATTAAATAAATTTACTATTTGTGTAATTTTACAGTTGAAATGGGATTTGTCATGATTTACTGTAGGTAATTTGATATTTGTTTTCCTCCTGGCAGAAACCAATGGTGATCCGCCAGGACTGCACAACTCCAGTAAGAAAAAGTATTGCAATTCCCGTCTACACACTGAACTAGTCGTCATTCACTATGAATCCAAACAACAGCAATTGGTCGCTCTTCATTTCTGCCTGTCCATTTAGAGGTGAAGCTGGAGGAGACACTGAGGGTGTCAGACAGACACACAGGTGAGCAGGGAAAGGGGGCTGGAGCTGCGTGGCTGACAGCTGGACCGGTGGATGAGGAAACTGATATATTGATAGATGTAGAGATGGGGTCTACTTTAAATCCACAGCATCAGGCAGCAGGTAGAGGAAGACTCAGTGCTGAAACTGCAGCAGAGGAAATGCAGGAGGAGTTTTCTTTTGGCTCTCCTACATTAACTTTAATTGGACTTTGCAGAACAAGCAAATTGGGTTCACCTTTGAGGAAGAAAACATTTAACAGCTGCCTCCACTCATTCTGCCTTCTGTCTTTTTCTTTCCTCTCTCTTTCTTTTGATACCCCGATTTAGGCTTTTTCGGCAACATAATGTCAAACCCTATTCAATCTGGGCTCACTGACATTACACTTGTCACTGGTTGCTGTTGGGCAGACTAAATTTTTTTGCGCCACCAAGAGGGGGTCCAAAATGTTGGGAGGACTGTGACATAAAGTTCAGACTCTCAGTTGATGTTATCAATTTATTTGCAATAAATTATGACACCAATTAATTCAATTTAAATACCAATTCATTCAAAATAAAAACATCACCAAAAAATTTGAAATTTGAATTACAAACTAAAGATAAATAAGTACCATGCACTCAAAATAAATAAGTTAGCGTAAATATTGATTACTCAAATTAATTAAAGATGGAGTAAGCAGGATCTGAGGAAGTGCCAGTTTTTAGGAAAAATCTTGAATGTAAACTCTACCCCTCCCAACCAGTTTTCCCCTCAGCTCCTCCTCTCCCCTCCCTCTCTGCTCCAGAAAGCCCCGCCCACAAACAGACGCTCCTGCTCATTCATATCGTTTCAATTTAATTCAGATATAATGCAGATAAATACTTCAGATAATTACAAATGGGGCCCAGTCAACATGGAAGTAAAAAGCATTGGTGCGACTGCAGATGCCAACAGTCTACCAGCAAACAAAATGTTTGCAGGACTTCTACAACTAGGATAAAGTGACATACTCCGGGACCCGAGGTAAACAGTTTAGCGGCGCTATGACACGCAGCAGGTCTCGTTTGACAAGAAACACTTCTGTTACAGACACTTGGCTTGCTTTGTTAAAGGGGTTTACATGTCCAGCAGAAAGGTTACAGGGTATAGCCATTTACTGATATAAAAAGCTTCTTTGTATATCCACCACAAAAAAGATGCTTCTTTAATGGAATCCTGCCTACCCCACCTTTAAGTTAAGAGTAAGAAGAACTTTATTAATCCCTAAAGGGGATTAATAAAGGGTTATTAGGGTAAGTACCATTCACTGAAAATAAATAATTTATGTGAACTTGCAGAAGTTAAGTTTATTTACTTAATTATTTTTAAGGCAACGAGTTTCCATATTTTTTTTAAGTATCCTTAACTGGTTTTGTTGTACAGTGTACATGTAAGTGCAACCTTCACAGGTCACCCTCTCAGTGATGTTTCAGCTGCTCATACAGAGGTTATTATTAAATATGCGAGTGTGACGAAGCTTGAACTAACCAATGCTTCTCAAACAAGGCTCCAGAAGTGATCTTGGGCCTCCCCTTGGAATGATGAGAAACACTGGGGATGTACTCGTTCAGCCAGATGACCAATTCCTTGCTGCCGGTATCTTCACCAAAAACTTCTTCAGGGTGAACTGGCACTTAAAAAGATTAAAAACTTGAGAAAAAAAATTTACTCCACTTGAGACCAACCTTTATCTGTCGAATCACTTTGCTGTACCCTGCTTCTGGAAGGGACTTTGAATTGGGAAAGGCTGGTATTTGCAGTGTTATGGCATTTACATTTTGAATTTGTTAAAGAGCTCCCTTTGGAGAAAAATGCACCAGCCATAACTGCAGAAGCCAGTAATAATGATAATAAAAAGCTGACAGCTCACAATCTGTGTTCTTCATATTGAATTCAGACACTTTTTTGCTTCTATTTTATGACATAGCTTTTCATCAGGTTCCAATCATTATCTGTGCACGGCAGTGAGAAGCTTGACAGCGGGTGCAGGTGTATTTTTACCCTTATTATCTTAAAAGCCGTCATTTCTTTACATTGCTGCAATAGCTCAAAAAAAAAAAGTTTTTACAAGTAAGACAAAATATTTTTTCCTCGGTGAACATAAAACCATTTAAATTTCTCTCTGGCTGGGCATCCTTTTTGATTAATGTCTGAATAAGCATGAAACTGCAGCCAGTTAACCTCATCTGACTTGTTGCTTGTGGCCAATCAGAAGTCAGTGCACAGATTATCACACTTGACAGGACTTTCCCTGAACCACTCCTCCAATAAAACCCTCATAAAGCCTTTTCTGCCTGCTCTCATCCAGGCTGAATCTGCAAACCATCTGATATTGGACCTCCCGTCTCCGCTGCAGCCAGAGTGAAATCAGCCAGAAAACAGCTGCCATGTGACAGAGAGCCAACACAGAGCGAGCAGTGGCAAGCTACCACAACAATTAATAACAGCACCATAACACACTTACTTTCCACATGTCATAATATTAGTCTTCACAGCTCATTTGTGCCGTTTCCCGTCATGCTCTGCCCCGTGGGTGGATATTTTTGCGAGGGGGTCTGGGGACTGTGTAATAGAAACAAGGGTCTGCCATGCGAGGCTTACTGGCTGTAATGCTGCATTACAGAGCACCTGCATCCAGAAATCCACTCAGAGCCAAGCAGCCAGCCCTCATGTGGTCAGCGTGATTACACTAATACAATTAGACCTCACTTTTTCTGTTCTGCTGGATCAGAAAATTGGAGAGTTGACTGAGTAATTTTAGATTTGAGTCATTTCACAGATTTCTCCTTTTATAATGTACACTGTGACATGACACAATAATGCACTAACAGTGTAACCCTAATGGAGACAGAAGTCCCTTTTTTCTGTTTTAGCAGTGTCTTTGGACCAGGGAAATAATTACCTTACAACTGTTAACCAACAGCAAAGACATCCTCTACATCTAAGCTATACAATCAGAGGCCCCAGGACTAAATCTATCCCTCAGGCAACCTCTGAGTGGCCCTAAACCAACAAGCGTGTTTGTACATGACTCCAATATGAAAAAAAAACATCTGAGCAGCCCATTCTGTGTGCACAAAAGTAACTTGCAAGTAAACCATTTATTACTTTGTTCCTGTTTTTATCAAGGTTTTTGGAGGTGTCCAGAACATTCAGACCATGGTTAAGATCTAAGATTTTAAAATGTTTTCCTACTGAAGTGAAAAGTAAGTTGAGAATTACCAAGACTGCAAATCAGTGCACATTATTCAAACAATGAGCAAGGTCTAGCCCTGCTCTTTTTTGGAAAGCGTCTTGGAATAACAACTGGGATTTGGGATTTGGCGCTATAAAAATAAAATATGATTGATTGACTGATTGATCGATTGAGGTACGCAGCTGTAAATAAAGAATTTAACATCAGGAAGCATGACTTGGAAATTACCCAATTTATTACATCTAATTAGTGAGCAGAAAAAATTAAGCATGAGCACATGTTAAAGTAAATAGACATAAACACACTGTAAATCTGAACTACATTGTTCCTGCTTCAGTCATTTGTCAGTGATGTGGTTCCCCCTCTCTAATCCCTGCTGCCTTGAACAGACGCACTACAAACCAAACCTCCTGATTATTGACCCAGGCTGTGGTTAAGAGGAAGTGACAGTGTGATGAGTTCTGGACAACGTGCAGCATTCTGGGTAATGCCTGTATTTGCGGCCCAGCGGGCCGAGCCATAACACTTACCATTTAATAAGCAGCAGCCTGCAGGGAGCTCCTGGGCTTATTCATCCTCCACTAGCTCTCAGCAGAGTGAACGACACTCTGCTGAGAGCCGGAGCTGACCAGTCAGCTGTGAGGCTCCACTGGTCAGGGACATTATTACTACACTAGACTGGACTGGTATGGACTCGACTGGCCTGGGGATCGCAGTGTCTATAATGTGTCCACGTGTCTGACTCAGGTTTCTTCAGTCACACATGCATCAGTGGTCTGCAATCTCTTGGTCAGACTCTACAGTAGGTTAACACTTTATCAGGATGTCTGACCTCTGACCTCTGGTATGAATGAATAATAAGCAAAATGAGACACAGTGACTGCTGCCTATTGTAAACCAGAAAAAGGCATTAAAGTGGTAAAGAGGTTTAGCTATGTGTTCCCAATGTATCCTTTTTTTTTTACCATACAAAAATACCAAATAATAAAACAAAGGGCCAACGAAAGTGTAAAACCAAAGATCTGTAGCTGAGGTATTGGCTTGTTGTTGTTTGGAGGTATTCCTGCAGAGATTTGGTAGCTGCAAAGCAAAATGACAACCTCAGGTTTCTCTTAGGGTGAAAATAGACTTAATAAAACAGACTGCAGAAAAACAACAGCTAGAGGACTCAAAAATCTAGAAGTAAAATTAATGGGAGGAATTGTGAGGTTGTACCAGCATACTTGAGATCCCCTTTAGGGATCAATAAAGTTCTTGTAAAGTTCTTGTACTGTTTTCTAACAACAATAATAAACTAGAGAAAGTTACCTTCAGTGCTTGAATGTATTCTCTTGCCTTTATGCATTTACATCTGTGGTTCCATCTTACTGTAGATTTTATGGTGTCTATTTTTCTACCTGTGATGTTAATTAAAATGCTGATGATGCCTGTGCTTTGTTAAAAATCATGGTCAGTCTTGCTTTAGTCAACTTGAGCAAGGTGACAACAATCCATGAACACGCACTTATAGATGGGTCATAAATTACAGGAGGAACGACAGTCTTACCATCTTTGAGGTGACTCTTGACATTTGTCTTAGGGATATATAAATTTCAGGTTAGGGAATTTGAATAGTTGAGGTTGGACTCTACTAGTGGTGGGCAAAACCACTTCTTTCTGTGAACCGGATCATTCCG